TTTTTTTTTTTTTTTTTTTGTTTCGTGGCAGTGAGGAACGCTTTTACGCAGACTTACCGCGTCGCTCAAAAAAGGTAAGTACTGTGTGACTCTGGCCGAAACCAACTACCCACTAAACCTCACGGAATTACCCTGCACGGCATGGTCTCCAGGCCATTCAGACACCTCCCTGTCTTTCACCTTACTAAACTCTGACGCCTGGTCATCGTAATGCAACCCAACGCCACCAGCAGCTTCGTCATAAAGGCATTATGCCGTCCCGTGATATCTCATCCCGGAGCCGACCACCCATATGATATATCCCCTCGCGGGGCTTACTACTGCGCTCTATAGTCGGTACGAGAGTGAAGGTCCCCATCGACGTAGCAGCAAGTCTAGCAAGATGTCCGTATGTGCGTGGTGAGAAAATTAATTTCCACCCGAGCAATTCGAGAACCGAAGTTCGCGTTCATTTAAGGCGACGTCCACATATGTGAACGAACGCCGTAAATCGCTGTGCTTTTCAGCAAGCAGAATGGTATTATATAGGGGACTCGTCTAGTCAACAAGACAATTCCCCTTACACGCCTTAAATTTTTTTTTTTTTTTTGTTTTTTTTTTGTTTCGTGGCAGTGAGAAATGCGTTTACGCAGACTTACCACGTCGTTCAAAAAAGGTAAGTACTGTGGGACTCTGGCCGAAACCAACTACCCACTAAACCTCACTGCCCACGGCATTATTGCGTGCTGCCGACTTTAGATTGAAGTGTGCACGTTGCCCTATTACCAGTTCGTTCAATTTTAACACAAACAGCTTACCAATTCCAGCTCTTGGTAGCGTTTTACCAGGTCTTATGGTAATGCCAGTCATCTTGTTCCATCTGCTCCAGTTCGTATGACTGCCACGAATCACCCTCAGGGTAATAAACCCTAAGAGTGCTCGTGACAGTCCCATTGCCAGCAACCCGTTCGCCGAACTCGCCGACCAAATCCCGCGTGACGAGAGCGTACAAGTGCGAAAATAAATGTCGGTTGGTCGGACATTATACTTTTTGCCGATTTCAGACCTCAGGTCCTCATTTTCGGCATAGTACGCGCGCTTTCTCTCGTGTGCACTGTCTAAAGCCGTCGCTCCACTGACTACCTGTGCATCAATTACCATTCCTTGCAGCAACGAGGTCAGGTTTTCTGACCCCCTGACTCGTGCGGATCCTCGGCTCCAATTCAACGTCCCACCTTTGGTCACGAAGGCCGGACCTTAGCACTGCGCAAATCGCGTTGTGTCTCATTATCCGGCCGCCGTGGGTACGATGGCACGACTGGATAACGTGGGCTGCTGTTTCAGTTGCCTGACAGCCAGCACGACACGATATATCCGAGCCGATTCTCCGTACACCACGAGATGTTCGGGTTTTCGTGGCCAAGGCGTTGATCCGGACATGATGGTACTGGACAAAGTCMCGTCCGGTCAACGCCATCCCCCATTGTACCCAAGAGCTGGATGCCGAGACTTTTGCGCTTTCGCGCAACTCGCGTCCATCCACATACTTATGGAGGGCCTCAGACCACCATCTGTCGACATCCTGTTTGCTGCGCAGAGCCTCACCGTTATTTTTGGTGAGCGCACGACAAGCCCATCTTATTCGGTTCTGTACCCAGGCTTCATCGTGCGCGGCTTTGGCCGCTGGTGATGTTGACTGTGCCATGCCGTCCAGTCGTTCGATAATACGGCATAGCACTGCTGTTTCGAATGATGATATGCCAAGACCCCCTTCACGCGTTGGTGCGTGAAAATATGCTTTGGGCACGTCAGGACGAAGGCGGAGCCATTTTTGAGCAGAGGACCGCACCTGCCGATCCAAGGACTTCATCATTCCAATGGTAGTGCCAGCTAGTACGAGTCGATGGTATAACCGAGACAGAAGAATAGATCTTATAATATAAAGCCGCTGTTGCGGTTTAAGTGGGGCTTTCGTTATCCTCTGTAACTCGACCGTCAGTGTCCCGCCGACCTTCTACGGCCCAATTGGTCTAAAGTCCACCCACAAGTACCACCACTCTTGCGAGGGCGATAGCTGTGCAATTTTTGCACCCTTTAGTTCGAACTAAGGGTTCGGTAAGACTTTAGACCTCTTGGCTTTGCCGGACGGAACCACTGAGAGGGCCGAGCACTTTGAGGTACTAAACTCCAGCCCCACACCTTCTGCTATCTCCTCGATCGTCTTCACCAGTACTCCCATGCCTTGAATCGTAGATGCCACAAGTATCGTATCGTCAGCGTACAGCAAGGTGTTGATGCGTGTGCCACCCAGGTCGTATCCAACATCTGATGGTAAAGGGCGAATGCGGATAAGGGTCGACAGCGCGTCGCCTTAGCGAACACCCCTGCCGACGTGTATCGGCTCTTATCGTGAGCCCCCGACTTCTAAGTATGTTATGCTACGCGAGTAGGTATAGCTTACATATTCGATCATGCCCTCAGGCATATTACATTCCCTAAGCACTGCCGTAATAGCCTCGTGACTCCCGCTATCAAATGCCTTTGCGCAGTCCAGGGAGACTATATGTAGCTCCCTGAGCATGCGTTTGGCATCGTCTAGCAATGAGGCGAGGACTGAGATATTCTCCGTGCATCCGTCCAACAGACAACGCTGCCTGACGTTAATCAAATCAACGCTGCGAAGGCGGACGGCGAGAATTTTATGCATCTGCCGTACAACAAAAGATGCAATGCTGATCGGGCGAAAGTCAGCTGCTGTCTTGGCTTCGTGCTTTTTCGGAAGGAAAATTGTCCTACTCGCTAGCATCTCTGTCGGGAAGCCTCCTCTTGCCATTATGATGTTGTACAAGAGGGTACGGATCATCACCGGCACACTAAGCCATTGTCTAGCCGAGACACCGTCGATACCAACTGCGGAATTAAGTGGAACATTTATTCGTTCTACTTCCACTTGTGAGATGGGGCGCCAAAGACCCTGTGGCTTGGTCTTGCTATGTCTTTCTGCAGCGAGCGTGTATGACGTGGACTCACGGGCCATTATCGGTCACTAGTAGTCAGCTATAAGCTGTAGACTGGAGGGACGTGGTCCGCTTGCACCATCCAACACCTCTCTCGCTATTCGCCAAGGTTCTTACCGAACTGATCTTGCGTTCGGGCGTACGCCCTTCGTCTCTTCCGCCAAGATGGTATTTTGTTCGAATCGACTGGGGTGTGCACATTTGGTCGGTCAGCACCAGACCGCCGAGAAGCTGGAGGGAACACACTTTCATAGTCTCTCTAGCGTGTTTTCGTTTCTTAACAGTTCCCCGGAAAGCCTGGACCGGTCCTCCGACAAACCTTGACTCCGAGGAGCACTGGCGTTGCCGCTACCACTACCCACGTCGTCCGGACTTTTGACAGCCCGGAGTTCCTGAATAGCAGCAGCGAMAAGATGTTTATAATCGGCTCGACGCCTCACACCCTTGATAGAATCAAGAGTGCGGCCGCCTAGCCTTTGAGAGAGAATAAATTCGTTTATAAATTTAACTCTACTCAAGACGCCTTGGGCCTCCACACGAGTCAACAGCCTACATTCCTCCGGTGACCACCACTTTTTTTCCTTCTCGACGGAAATGGCAGCATTAGCTACCTCTAGGTGGGCCGCCCTAACATGCACACCCAAGCCCCGCTTCGTCGCAAACGACCTGAGACATTCTTGGCATTGATGCACATCATCAGTGTTGTTCAGTGTACTGGTTGCTTCCTGCAATGTATTAGGAACAGGACTGGCAAATTTGCTAGCATTCGCTGCTTGTGTCATATCCATGGATCCAGCAGTCCGAGCCGGGTTTCTTCGCTGCTGGAAATATACTTTCCTAGTATTTTTCGAGCCTACAGAAAAAGGCCATGCCGGGTTGGCAGCCTAACATAGCCTGGAGGAGGACCTCCTGTCTCTCCCTCGTTCAACGTTCGCCACACCCTCAGACAGGGAGAGACCTGGGTTATTCACCCGTGGCGAGCGACGCAGAGGCAGCTGTTAGTTTCTCCTCCTCAGGAGGATACTACCTAGCGGGAACCACGAAGAGGTCGCTGCTTGCTAAACTATGACTCTCACTAATTCGTAATAAAATAGATGACGAGATATTAGGCATAATTAAGAGAGTCATAGTTACTCCCGCCGTTTACMCGCGCTTGCTTGAATTTCTTCACGTTGACATTCAGAGCACTGGGCAGAAATCACATTGCGTCAACAACAGTGAGGGCCATCGCAATGCTTTGTTTTAATTAGACAGTCGGATTCCCCTAGCCCGTGCCAGTTTTGAGCTGAACGTTGAATGGCGGCCGAAAAGGACGACTGTAACGGATAAACCGAAAGGAAGCCTCGCAGCAAGGAAGATCCACGTGAGGCCAAGGCACGCGACCGAGCTCGGATCCCAGTTACGGTTCCCGAAACTGTTCACCTCGCCCAGGCCCGGTACGTCAGCCAGACCCGCTTCCCTACCAAGCTCGACACGCCCCGCTTGTCAGAGCTAATCCCTATTCAGAAGTTACGGATCCAATTTGCCGACTTCYCTTACCTACATTAGTCTATCGACTAGAAACTCTTTACCATGGAGAACTGCTGCGGACATAGGTACGGACCGGCGCGAAACCTCCACGTGGCCCTCTCCTAAATTTTCAACGTCCGAGAAGAAGACCCGGACACTGCTGCAACTGCGATGCTCTTCGCGTTTCAAACCCTATCTCCCTGCTAGAGGTTTCCAGAAAACTAGAACACTCATACAGAAAAAAAAACTTTTCCCGGATCTCCCGACGGCGTCTCCAGATCATTTTGGGCTACTCCGACGAACTCTCTTACGGGAACCCGAATTGCAAGCGGTTCCACTGCCGGTATCCGGAGTATGAACCGTATTCCCTTTCGCCCAACGGCCGTGTGTCTTTAATAATAAAACAACATTTTGTCTGCACACCATCATCGACATAAGATTTCTCCTAGGGCTTAGGAATAATTTACTCGATTAAAACGGCAGTTCACACGAAACTCTTCTCCACGTCAGTCCTTCAGGGCCTCGCTGGAGTATTTGCTACTACCACCAAGATCTGCACCGACGGCAGCTCTAGGCAAGCTCACGTCCAGACCCTTCTGCGCACACCGCCGCGACCCTCCTACTCGTHAGGGCTTCATAGCGGCGCCCGAGTAAACCCGGACTAACCGCCACACCTGCCGCTGACGGCAGAGCATGGGCGCGACGCTTCAGCGCCATTCGTTTTCAAGGCTAGTTGCTTCGGCAGGTGAGTTGTTATACACTCCTTAGCGGATTCCAACTTCGATTCCTGCTTTCTTAAGCAACCAACGCCTTTCATGGTATCCTATAAGCGTCGACTTAGGCGCCATAACTTTGCGTCTAGTTTATCCCATCCCACAGCGCCAGTTCTGCTTACCAAAATTGGCCCACTTGGCACTCTGATCCGAAATCTCTTGTGGCTTCATAGTTCAAGAAAGCCAGAGATGTCACCTATTTAAAGTTTGAGAATAGGTTGAGGTTGTTTCGGCCCAATGGGTTCTAATCATTCGCTTTACCAGATGAGACTCGTTTACGTTCAATAAGAACAAACGAGTGCCTGCTATCCTGAGGGAAACTTTGGAGGAAACTTTTAGATGGTTCGATTAGTCTTTCGCCTTTATAACCAGTTCCGACGATCGATTTCCGACCTCCATTAGGGTTTCCCCTGACTTCGTCCTGACGAGTGTCTGTACGATCGGAATCGATCGTGAGCGAGAAATTCACGTTTTGTAAAACGCGCCTTTAGTCCGATATTAACGGTCGTATCCCCACCACTCGGCGGCGAGTGCGTACGCTCTGCTGGACCTATTATCAACGTTATTCGTCCTATTCTTTCGCTGAACGCTTAAGAGAACACTTCATATAATACAAGCGAACTTCGTAGACGTTCCAAACATCCCAGGTGTAGGGCAATCACATCCTAGAGTCAACGATAGAAACGTAACGGACAGCAGAGGCGGTAATTAATGGTAAAGAAAAGGAGAGGCGATACGAAACGGTAAGAAACAGTCTTTATTGGTACCAATCAGTTCAAACGGATTAACGAGAGGAGCGGTACCACGTGCGTTGCCCGTAAGTGACAGCTGGTAGAGAGAGGAGAATTCAACTACGGGTTTGTCCATGGTTGATCGTCATTAACGTGTAACGTAGCATTCAAACAGGGTATTTAAGCCGTAAGGCTTTTCCCTGATTAGCCAATAAAGCATTAGCATTTTTATTGGCTTAACCACTTTTATTATTTTGTTTTAATTACCCCTTCACCTTCCTCACAATTAGCTGAATTCAATCGCCGGAGAACTCCACGTTGGAGGAATTTTAGGCAAATACACAGGGTCCGTAGCTCCGTAAGACACTGGCCTCGCTTGCGACGGGCCCAACGCAGTTCGATAATTGCGGCAAGATACCTTATAAGTTCGACCGCCGGGCAGCTGGCCGGGTGACCAAGGGTCTGCCTCGTGCGCCGAAGCGACGCGACAGTCTACCGTTTGGACCGTAGACCGGCACCCAACGGGTCGCGAAGTTCTACTAGGAGAGAAGTACACAACGGCGACGCCAAACAAGGCATGGAAAGATTACGTGTCCTAAGAACAAAGTCCGAGACGACGCACGATCCGCCGAGTAACGCCGCTGACGCTGAATCTTCCTACTCGATCTTTCGGGTTCCTCAAGTTTACCCCTGAACGGTTTCACGTACTCTTAAACTCTCTCTTCAAAGTTCTTTTCAACTTTCCCTTACATTACTTGTTCGCTATTGGTCTCGTGGTCCTATTTTGCCTTAAATGTAGTTTACTATTAACATAGAGTTGCACTCTCAAGCAACCCGACTCTAAAGGGAGATCCTTCCAAGACGCTGCACCGGTCGCTACGGGCCTGGCACCCTATACGGGTAAGTGGCCCCATTCAAGATGACTTGGACGCGGTCGTGCGCCTCGGAATTTAATGCGGATCCACCCAAACAAAAGAAAATATATTTGCAAAACGTAAGTATCGATCAAATATAAAAATATCATCCCGTAACCACGTAAAGTCGTCGTTTCAGTATGTCGTTGCGTTCGTTCGAATTACGACTTTAACACGACGCAATGGTTAAGGACAATAAAAAAAATATTCGACGCAGCCTTAGATGATTTTATATTTTATAAAAAGGAGAGAGTTTAATAAACATCCAACAAAGTGAAATAATGATTTAATTTCAATCGTCGGATGCTCCTCCATGTTCTAAAAAAACTCACAGCCCTGCTTGGTCGAGCCAAAAGTTCGAGACGCCATTCATTGACAATCGTGTCGCTCAACGGTTTTCTCGTTCGTCTAAAAACTTTGTTGTATATTTAAATAACAACAATTCGTTCTAACAAATTCTGTTCAAAGAACTAAACGTCTATCGTAAAAAGGACCTGCTCGAAGTATAATAATTACGGGTCGTATATCATCACACCGCTTCTTAAACTATTGAGCCAAAACTGGATGACATACGATATATTTAAATCGGGAAAGAGTCTTCTCGTTTTGAGTACGAATTTGCCACGTCGATGTATGATAATGAAATTGTTATCAATCGTTCTATTCAACTTTTATGTCGATTACAACGTAAGCTAATATATCTCCACTATCTCTCTCTTCTCGTTTGTCGTCGTAACGTCGATCCGTATATTCAATCAGCACCTTTTTACATTTTTTTTTCAATCGCTCAATTACCACTCGCTGGAAAATCTCGTTCGAAAATCATCTCTATCGGCAGAAAAGGGCTTTGGTGTTAAACGTATATTTTTTACGTTTAAATTTCATTCGGTAAATCTATTTCTTTACGTTTTGCTCGTATAGTTCGAAATTTCTTCTATTTCCTTCCTCTATCTCTCTCAATTTTTTATTTCTGTACTTAATACTAATAATTTATTTAAGGCGACTTCGGCGAGAGAACCTCAAATCTCTTTTATCAAGAGACTATGTTTCCTCTCATCAACGAACAACCCAATAAACGCTCTACGTCAGGGACGAAAATCCGCCCATTATCGTTTAGTTTACCGATCCGCAGCCAGGCGTGGTCCGGGAATTGTATCCGTGGACCGTAATGTGCGTTCGAAATGTCGATGTTCATGGTTCCTGCAGTTCACAAGTTGAAGCGCAATTAGCAGCGTTCTTCATCGACCCACGAGCTAAGTGATCCACCGTTCAGGGTAATCGTATATAATATTTACGTTTTTGAGGCGTACGTTATTTAACCGTATTTCATAATACTCAGCGTTAAACAAGCATCAGTATCATCCCTTAAGTAAAAAATCACAGTTTATGCGACGAGATGGAGTCTTCCTGTCGACTCTTTTCTCGATCGTTCGAAAAAAAATGAGAAAAGAGGAATTGAGAATTGCTATGAGATCCGGGCGAATGAATCTTTAAAAATAAACCATCGACGTAGCGGCGTCCTCGGACTCGCTACACAAATATTCACGTCTCTTGCCAGGTCGATTAATGATTCTGCCGTTAACGCGTGTTTAAAACATGCGCCTAAAGCATAATAACCGTATAAGTTCGATTCGACCGCTGCACAGGTTGCACCGGTTCATCAGCTTAAAAACCGAAGCTAATTGAATCCACGAGTGCTATTGTGCCTTCTAAAGCTTTCGTTTAAATTTGACGGATGCCTCGATAAACTTTTAAGGCTTTAAGAAGCATCGCGTCTGTCTATTCTTACTGCGTGACTTAAAAAGTCTCGTTCGTTCGTTTGATTGTTTGTTCGCTCGTTCATTCTTGTTGCCCGTTCGAGCATCTTTTGTAACGTTAGTGATCCTTCCGCAGGTTTACCTACAGAAAACTTGTTACGACTTTTACTTGTTCTAAATGATCAAGTTTGGTCACCTTCCCGGCAACATCGGCAGTACCAAGCCACTTTCCGCGCCCCAGTCCAAAGACCTCACTAAACTATTCAATCGGTAGAAGCGACGGGCGGTGTGTACAAAGGACAGGGACGTAATCAACGCGAGCTTATGACTCGCACTTACTGGGAACTCCTCGTTCATGGGAAATAATTGCAAGCCCAAATCCCTAGCACGAAGGAGGCTCAGCGGGTTACCCGGGCCTTTCGGCTAGGGAAAACACGTTAATTCCTTCAGTGTAGCGCGCGTGCGGCCCAGAACATCTAAGGGCATCACAGACCTGTTATTGCTAAATCTCGTGCAGCTTAAAGCTGCCTGTCCCTCTAAGAAGATTTGTTGGTACGTTGGTAGTAAAAACCACTCCCCCGAAGCTAAGGACCTTCGAGATACCAGAATGTACGCCTATTTAGCAGGATAGAGTCTCGTTCGTTATCGAAATTTACCAGATAAAACGCTCCACTAACTAAGAACGGCCATGCACAACCACCCCGCGAATCAAGAAAAAGCTATCAATCTGTCAATCCTTCCAGTGTCCAGGCCTGTTGAGGTTACCAGTGTTAAGTTAAATGTAGCCGCAGGCTTCACTCCTAGTGGTGCTCTTCCGTCAATTTCTTTAAGTTTCAGCTTTGCAGCCATACTTCTTCCAGAACCCAAAAGCTATGGTTTCCCGGAAGCTGCCCGTCGACTGATCGGATGAACTTCGGCGGATCGCTTTTTTGCATCGTTTATAGTTAGAACTAGAGCGCTATCTAATCGTCTTCTAACCTCAAAATTTCGTTCTTGATTAATGTAAAAGTTTTTGGCAAATGCTTTCGCTGCTGTCCGTCTTGCGACGATCCAAGAATTTCATCTCTAACGTCGAAATACGAATGCCTCAATCTGTCCCTATTAATCATTACCTCGGAGTTCCAAAAACAAAAAAAATAGAATTGAGGTCCTATTCCATTATTCCATGCACACAGTGTTCAGGCGAGGCTACCCTGCTTTAGGCACTCTAATTTGTTCAAAGTAAACCATCCGACCCATCTCGACACATAATGAAGAGCACCGCGATGAGATATTAGTTGGACCGCCCCGAAGAGCTAAGCCCTTCGGTAGGACGTCCAACATCATGCTAGTAAACACCGCGAGCGGTGAACCGACAGTGTGATACATAGACTCAACTACAAGACTTGCTCTCCAATGGATCCTTGTTAAAGGATTTAAAGTGTACTCATTTCGATTTCGGGGCCTCGGATGAGTCCCGTATCGATAATTTTTCGTCAGTACCTCCCCGTGCCGGGAGTGGGTAATTTGTGCGCCTGCTGCCTTCCTTTGATGTGGTAGCCGTTTCTTAGGCCCTCCCTCCGGAATCGAATCCTGATTTCTCGTTACCCGTTTCAACCATAGTAG